GATCTCATTACACTGAGTTACTGGTAGTCTCGAAACCCTACTCTTCTACGAATATATGTGAAGAAGCAGACGAGTTTAGTGGTAAGCATGTGACTATCTAGTCTACATAATTAATCAAATTCCACAATTTGGGTTCCTTTTGGTTGGTTGATGAGGCTCGGGTGATCAGAACATGAATAAGTAATTAAATCGCTCAAAATTTATTGATTGACCTCGTTTTCGCTATTCGATCGTATTATCAGGAGGACATGGCTGGATGCAAAAATTCTACACAACGAAAGGAGATCGCAAACATACAAAAGGCCACACCATTTTGGTCTGCATACCTTGATAATTTCCGTCGTCCGACCGTGAACTCGGTACATTCTCAGGAGGAGTTATACCACAATGGTCCAGCAGAAAGTTGGTCAAGAGATGGACGTCACTTGTCTTTTGACGAGGTGTAGCTTGATACGAAGACCTGCATGGTTCACGGACGATGCCTTGATGAGAGGCAGCAAGTTCATGATCCGTAGCCGGATATTGTCAGGACTACTATGACTTTCATCTAGGTCAACCTGAAAAGGTAACCATGTTGCGAAAGCGAGAGCGAGCCATTTCTACACAGGGAAGAGAGAGTGATGCCAAAATAGAAGCCACCTGCTTCATATCTGCAAGTAATTGACTCAAGTTGCGTGAGTTGATTTAAAGACTGACAATATAAATTCCCAAAATGAATGTTTAAGCTTATCGAGGCCTCATATGGTTTTCGTCGGCAAATCTGACGGGATTCGAAATCTGGTCGTACGACACTTTAACTCTCCGTTACACAGCCGAAAGTGTTTGTTGTTCTCAGCGGGATATGACTTCACAGGCAAGTCAGAAGGGCTACGATTACATTTATGGTGTGATATTTTACAATTACAAATGACGACGTTACTTATTCATGTTGAATGGGCTTATGGCAATTAATTTAGTATTCACAATAAGGTGCTTTTTCGATACTCCTAACCAATCATGACTAAGAACTGCATTGTCGTGTGGACTTTTATTTCGTATGAAAATGCACGATAAAATGATTCGTTGGTTGAGCGAACCGGAAGACAAGTGCCGATTCTCGGTGTTTTACAGCTTCATGCTGACTCAGTCTACGAGGCATCTTCCCTTATTTCTGATGGAATCATATCAAGCTTTCAATCGCATTATATTGGAACTTATCGGAATTGAAACTAATTATTTCAAAAGTCTCAAGTTAATTCTAACTTAAGAAGTCTGTCAGACTCCATCCTACATGATGTATATATTAATAAATAAAAAATCCAGAATAAATAAATAGATATGAAATGATTTAGTTAGTTTTTTACCATATGATTCATGGTACTTTTAAATAAGAACTGTGTCACCCCATTTCCTTTAAGCTGATGCCGGACTGGTAGTTGAATTTTTCCATGATCATATAATTAGGCTTTACGTTTTCATTGAATTTTAAATAGCCTTGCTTCACAAAAGTTATTTTTAATCATACAGGGCTGAGTTGCAGTTTCGATCTCGCCTTGGTCTCATCAGCACTTCCAGTGAAACGTGAACACTTCTTATCTAATATGCTTAAATCCGGAGAAAGGTAATATATTTGATTGCTTCATTGAAGATCCAACCACCGAAAGTGATGTGGGAAAGGCCTGGAGGAGGTCTCGTGGACTGTTTAACCTGAATGTCGTAGTAGAGCC